GCAAAAGCAGAAGTCACATTGCGAAAGAAAACGCCCGCAAATTACTTATAAAGTCATTAGAGGAAGCGCTTGTCTTCAGCAGTGTTGAACTACGGTAAGCGCGAAAGGAAACCACGCAGAATGCTGGGAGTAGTAGTTTTTGTAGGCGAGTTCGCCATTAGCTTTCGCCTTTATATTTCCCAAGCTGCTCAGCAGTTTCATTTTGTAGTGTTGTGGTACAGCACCTATTATTCATTAATTCATTCGTTCATTTTTATTTGCGCCGTAAACTACTTAAACTGCAACAGGTTTGGGCCATAAGGGGATTTTTTTGAATTTCTTATTATTATGTTAATGTCAATTATTATTATATAAAAGGTTACCTGTTAAATGTATTTGTCTATAATTTCGTTTAAGTCTAACTTTCAACAGGTTATCTATTAAAATGTTAAAAGCAGCTGTTGCATGTCACTTCCTGTACACTCTAATTAGGCATGTTGCAGCACCCGACCTAGACTCTGTTTTATTTTTACAAATAAACAGGACACGGACACAGGAAGATTATTTTCTATTGTTTGCTTTATATTACTTTTGATTACTTGCTGGTATACCTGCATTGTAATGTTATCTAAAAATCTTATGTTTACCTGTAAAATTTTGGATGTTTTTTAAGATAAGAACATTTATTTATACTACGTTTGTGTAGTTATTAAAAATGTATCAGTAAATAGATGTAGTGGACTGGGTGTCTGCCACTTGGAATCCGAGCCAAAGGCGGATCCTGTTTCTCTTGTCAGATTTTAGCATTCACACCCCAGATTGATATTCCAGGCAGCCATCATGTCTGTAGTTATTCATGGTGTGTGTTGCTCCATCTGAAAAAAGTGATGTAATCCTCTGAATAGCTCCAATATAAAATGGATCCTCACATCTTCAGTTATGAACGGGGTATTAGGTAATCATATCTCCAATTGTAATGACAGCAAAAACAAACTGATAGACGTGTTCAGGATAGATGCTAGACCTTTGGGAAAATGTGTATTTGTGAATAAATGTGAAATGCAGCAAATGTAAAATAAAAATCACTATATGTACTGTAAAAAGCTAAAATCAAAATTTTTTATATATAATTGAAAAAAAAAAAAGTAGGAAATTTGGTTGTTTAACTATTACTTAATTACTCTGGTGTAGTGAGAATAGTTATAGGGGATGTCTTTACCAGTAGGAACAAAATTTATACCCCCCTTTACATTTCTGAAAGCTGTCCAGTGACACCCCTGATGTAGACCCACAAACAGCCTGTAGGCTTCTGTTTGAGGGCCTCAGGCTGGCACAGGTTGGTAAGAGGAAAGCAGCTTTAAAATACTTAACTGAATCAGTACAAGCAGACCCAAGTTGAAATTAGCAAACATGAGTGAAACAATAATGAAGGTTTAACACGTAAAACAGACGTCAAAGAAATCTAATAGTTTTTCAGTCCAGTATTTAGAGCAGATGTAACTGTACGAACCTCAGCTTTTATGACCTGTCTGCAAACACCTCCTTGCTCCATCAAGGTGACTTTCCATCCACTGCTTTTCCCATGAGCCCCCTGGGTTAGGGCTCTTTTAATTAGTGCTTTAATCATAGACAAATTTCCACCAGGATCCTATGACACACAGGCAGAGAGCCCACTGTGACAGCTGATCTATGTTAGTTCACTGAGGTAATGACTGCATGTGATGACACCGCTGTAAACAGCATGGTCACTGACACTGTCAGTCTCATTCTTTATCATGAGTTATGATCTGCATGATGAAAACAAACTGTGTGGTGAACAGTACACTGACTGAAGAAATATTCTGACCTTTCATTAAAGTCAAAGAACCCATAAAAGATGTAGAGCTGATGCACCAGTGTGGCCCACAGTGGGCTGCCACAAACGATTAGTTTAGTCGACTAATCAGATCATGCATCCACTGGACGTAAAACATACAGCTTATTGCACCAGCA